CACCGGGAGCCCCAGGGCTCCCCTCCGGACCAGCCCAGACCCTGGGGTTGCACGGGGCTGGCACCTACGACGCGCGCCCTGAGCAGCCGGACTCTAGGTCGCCTGGATCTCAAGGCGGTGGGCAGAGATTCAACCTTGGCTGCCCACATAGCCGGAGCCCGCGGGCTTGCCAACGGGTGCAAACTTTTTTTGTGTGTGTGTGGGGGGGCGCGGTGTTCAAACGTGGGGTGGAGGCAGGTTGGAGCCCGGGTTCACCGCCCGCGCGCCAGGCACGGGGGCGCGTGGGCGCTTCCCGGAGACTCACCCCACCGCTTTCATCAAAGTCCCAGCATCTCTGACCTACACTCTTTGCCCCCGCAACACAAACCCGCCCCCTCGCAGTTTAGGGACGAAGGCATGTGCCAGACCCACAAAGGTGATTTAGAACGTCAAACAATGTGAGCGGGCCAAAAGCTCAAAGACCCGCTTCTCACCGGCTAATGTCCGCAGCGGGAAGAGCAATCAGAAGGTTGGGGAGCGCGTCGCGACGCCAGGCTGTTTGATTAAGCGCTACCTGGCCCAAGGTGGGGCAGCGGAAGCCGGTGAGAGCGAGATCGGGATTGAAATGCAAGCAGCAGCCACTTGGCCCCAATTAGAGGCCAAACCTTTTATCTAAACAAGGAATAATTAGCTTTGGTAATAGAAGCGTAAACAGAATCATCATCATCCATTGATTTGCTAATTACCCTCCTTTCCCGGTGATATTAGCCAACATTGTGCCTGTAGGTCTGATAGACTCTGTGCACCTGAGGCATAGGTAAAGGGGTATTACACTAAAAAAATGGGAGTAGTCAGTCTCCCCACCCCCATCCAGCCACTGGGCACCCTGAGAACTGGCACTGGGATACCTGTTCTTTCTGGTGTAAATGCAGCTTTCAATGCCTTCTTCTAAAAGGAGAGGAACAGTTTGGATGGGAAAACTCCAGTTGAACGGCAAGGCTCAGCTAGTTACTAATTTCCTGGACTCTGCAATTCCTCCAAGAATTGCCCATCTTTTGCCCAGAGCCAGAGAGACCCAAAGGCCCCTTATTGGGAGTAGTTGTCCCATGCAGCCCTCCCTCTATTGAATTGGGACCCCCAAGTTCAATCTCAAATCACCTTACTCTTAACCACCTGAAGCACAGCCAATTAGAACCCCAGGTTACAAGACTGCTGGAAAGTTACCTAAAGTCCAGTGTGCCCATCGTGGTTTGTGGGCGCATCTAGTTTGCAGGGCATGGGACTAACAGAAACTCTCAGGGGATACCTGGGGGCAATAAAATGTGCTCAGCAGCGGGCAGCTTCCTCAGCTCCTGAGGACTTCCCAGTGGGGTGGCAAAGCCCCACCCCCTCCCCAAAGGGGCATTTGCATAGCACTTAGCACAGCCTTAAGGAAATGTCCCAAATGTCCACATCAAAGCCTGGAGTACCTGCTGTGCAAGACAGGAAGGAAGGCTGCAGGGTTTCATAGTGCCTGCCCTCAAATCTCCTGGATCCTGCAGCATCCGAGGGCTGCCCAGCCCCCAGCAACACTGGAGAAAGTTGTGGTGGGACTTGGAGACAGCTCAGGAGGACCCAACCCACTCCCACTTTCCATGGAGGCCACTAGTCATCACCAGTTTTATTGCCTTCCACTGCACTCAAACCTGAAGCACCCTGAGGTAGGAGGGTCCTGATGCCTTCCACACCCCTCCCCGGAGCCTCACCCACCTCCCACCTGGCCTGGAGACAGTACCTTTGTCCAGGACGGGCCCGAAGATGGCCAGGCTGTCATCTATGGTGGTGCAGTTCCAGCGGCGGCCCCGGAACTGATGCTGGCACTCCTGGATGCCCAGCTTCACACCTTCGGCCACACTGGGCATGATCTCGATGTAATTGCGGCAGAAACGCAGTTGCTTGGGGACCAGGCCTGGGATGGAGCCGCAGAGCAGAGGCTGTGAGCCCAGAGATGTGTACTGCTGGCCCAGGGCCAGTGACCTGTGGGCAGACAGAGGGAGGTAGCACAGTAGACACAAAGCACATGGCCCAGCACGGGCTTCACTTCATGACCCTCTGGGGTAGGTGGAGGAATGGAGGGCCTGTGGGCCTCAACTTAAGGCCCTAAGAAACCTGGCATCTGCGTGTGCCACCTTTGGCTTCCTGGGAGCACACTGCCCCTCAAAGGGCAGAGCTCTGATCCAAGCAATGTCAGCTCCTAGCATAGACATATCATAGCCACAGAAAGGACCCTGGAGTGGAAAGATGGAATTGGGGACCCAGATCTGGACCCATTTTTCCCTGACAGGTGTTGAAGGGGTCTGACTCTGCGCTCTTCTGGGAATTCAGAATTTGGGGGCCACATGGAAACTTCCAGAGATTCCTGGAAAAGAAGCCAAAACTAAAGAGAGGAAACCACAGAGGCTCATTTGACCCCAATTTATCTCTGAAAAATCAAAGAAGCATCAGTCCCAGCAGGGAGTCAGTACACATGTGTACATGTACACACACACACACACACACACACACACACACACCCCGCTGCAGTGCTCGTCAGCCTCTTCCCTAGAGGCTGCATGCTCAGCCTCACTCCTGCCTGTGACTCCCCAGGGAATACATGACCATCTTTCCAGTTCCCTGGAAGTTAACAGTGTGCCACCTCTCCTCTCACCTGGGCTATTTAGACCTCAGCTCTCACCCAATACTAGATGACATGAATCAAGCCACCTCAGTCTTCGCCCCTCATTTTTCAATCAGTATCCTGTCAATCTCTCGAATTTCAGAGTCTTGTAGGGAAAGGGTGGATAGGCAAATAGAATATATTAGAAAGCCAAGGAACTGTGGGAATCTCCACCATTCCCTCCATCGGCACAGGAACAGCAGAAACGACATTTTGAGGGAGAAGCAAAGAAAATGATCAGTAGGTCTCAGTGTGTTTCAAGGTCAATTGTGATCAGTCATTTGTGATGGGGGCAGAGTGAGTAGGAAGAAGGAGCAGCCAGGAGTCCTGTCTTCTTTTGAGTCCATCACCTACCAAGCCTCGAGAAAGGGGGTCCCGGAGAAGACCCCAGGGGTGGGTCAGGAAAAAGCACACAAAAGCTTTCTGGGCGTGGCACCAGGAAGAACCCAACATCTGCCATCTAGGGACTCTTGCTATGTGCCTGGCACTCTGGACGCCACAGACGCGGTCAGTTCTTGAGTGAGAGGAGTATTTCCTCTCCCAGGTGCAGAAACGGGGCTTCGCAGAGGAATGAGTTCCCCCAAGGCATTTTGGTGCCAAGTCTGTGGCAGCTCAGATTATGCTGTTTGCCGCCTTCCCCAATCCTTCCCTTGACCTTGGGCTAGCTCCTGGTTTCGGTCAGTTGACAGAGATTCTAAGGAAAGGGGCTCTCCAGGACCCCAGAGGTGTGCGCCTATCCGCCCTGGGCTGCCTCTGGGCTCAGTCATAAGGGGAGAAGCCGGCCCTTCTTAGTCCACTGATTTAACTTGGAGGAGGAACCAGGGAATGAAGTCTGGGAGTTCAGATGGTGGCACTGATGTGATCTCAACCACGGAGCCCTTTCAAAGAGAAGGAAGGAGGAGCCCGAAGTTGTGGCTTGTCATTGATAATGGCTAATTACCGACTTCCTCTGTGCCAGGCTGAGCCCTTTCCTTGGGTAAACCTCATTTAATCCTTATAACAACCTAAGACAGAGTAGGGTCGTTACGAGCAGACCTGTTTTCACCGACGGCTTAGCCCAGACCACAGAACAACTAGAGAGCCGTGGAACCTGAGAACATTATGTAAAGTGAAATAAGCCAAACTCAGAAAGTCAAGGGTCAGATTTTTTTTTTTTCTCATATGTGAAAGCTAAAGAGGAGGGAAAGAAAAGACAGATGGGGGGATCTTATTAAAAGGGAAGGGAAGGCTGGGGTGTGGCTCAGTGGATAGAGTGCTTGCCTCGCATGCGTGGGACACTAGGTTCAAACCTCAGCACCACATAAATAAATAAATAAATAAATGTATTGTGTCCATATACAACTAAAAAAAAAAAAATGAAGAGAGATCAGTAGAATTGAGGAAAGGAACCAGGGGGAGGGAGGAGAGGAGGGAAAGGGGAAATCCTGGGGAATGATATTGACCAAATTATATTACACTGTGTGCACATAAGAACATCAAAGTCCACCTTTACATACTACTAATGCATCAATAAAAAATGTGTGTGGGGGGGAGTCACCCATTGGAACCCAGCTGCCTGATTCCAGAGACCCGAGGGCAAACGGCTTACCACCCTGCCTCTTGGCTGAGGATGGCCTTGGGCCTACCTGTCTGCACCA